TGTTGAAAATCTCTTTCTATGATCTCATTTAATCTTCCCAGTGGACAGAAGGATTTTCTACACTTAATAGATGGGAAGCCTGCAGCAGGTTGCTTTTGAGTGCCATGCTTAGGGGAGCATGGCTGGTGAGCTGTAGGGGTTCACACTCATCACCAGTGTCCCTGGCTCACCCCTTAACCACAACTGCACTCACCACAGACCTTACTTTCTTCACAACTGGGTCTCTTCCATCAAATTCAGTGCCCAGTTGCTTGATAAATATATTTTGAATGAATAAATGTCATCAAGGTAAAATGTAGAAATAAAGATGTAGAAATGATGTTCTGCCCATTTTGTCTCTCCATTTCAGTTTCTCAAACTCTGCTTCTCAGTTTCATCATTTGTAAAATGGAGACATTAAATGAAAATCCACCTGTTGAAGGATTATAATTCTTCATTATCATGATTATCATCATGAGTGGCAAATAATTCTTGAGCATCTAAGTGTTGAGTTTTCCAGGGATTATTTCTTCCTATTTAATGCTCTGTCTCAACTGAATGACTGAAACTCACAAATCAGAAGGGTTTTGTAGGTTAATTGGACCAGTTACCTATACCATAAGGAATCTGCCCCTACTTCATTCTAAAAAGTCACTGAAAATGGCAGTTGTTTGCCTGACGTCACCCCACCGCAATCTCCCTGACTTTTAACAGCAATCCCAGAGGGGCACTCAAGCTTATATATCCTTTCAGTATTGTTACTGTTTGAAAGAAGATTCCTGTTGAATGAATAGGAGAATCTTTTAATTCCAAGGTAATGGGAGGTGTTTCTGGACTTGAGTTTGAAGTCAACTGCAGTGACTACTTATATGCATAAGATGTTGTGCTTTTAATTAACCAAAGGAAAAAGGTCAGTAAATCACTTTATGAACAAAGCCAAATCTAATTCTGAACATAATCAAATGAACACACAATTCTTCGTGAAACACAAAGATATAGAAACTCCTTGGGAGGTGTACAATTTTAATTAAGTCTATATCTTTGTTTGTAGCTATAGCTTATTATAGTTTTCTATAATTCTATTTTATTTTTAATAACTATGATTTATTTGTATGTATTATATGTATATACCTCTCTATATTAAATATTACATCACATAATATACATATTAAATATTTATATTGCAAATGTAATGTCTATCCATATCTACAGACATATATTCATTTTGTATCTCTAATATATTTCTATACATAAATATATTCATAAATATGTAAATATAACATACATGTATGAATATATTAATACTTAATATTAATACCAATACCAGTCTATTAAATATAGTAATATATTTGGTTACTATATAGACACATAGATATCTCTTTGAGACCACATGGTATGCTCGTCAGTAATATATAACTGGAAAAGTAGGTGGTGTCATCAGGGATTAACAAGGATTAGAGAGGCACATTAAGCTGGAGAAGACTGAGAGTTCAGTAGGACACTCTCTTCTTCTGAGGGACCACCCTAGAGGCATCTTCCCCTTCAGGAGGTCCCGTGGTGAAAGGAGGTGTGCGAGAAATGGTGAGAAGAGATATTTTATGCGGAGGTTTCTGAGCATCCCTTGAATCCATTAAAACCTCCAGCCAGCTTCAAGTAAATGAATGGTAATTGAAGCAAGCTCGAAAGTCTCCTTTTGAGTGTCTACATACATAAGAATGCTACCCAGGAAAATGCATGGTATTTTACTCATTATCTTTATAAGGAAGTATGGGAAAAATGACTTTAACACTCAAGACATCAAGAATGGTAATACTTTGTTCAACCTTTAGGTGGATTTACTTGTCTTTTGGATGCTACTATATATAGTTAGTAGCATTATTATGTACCTGCTACAATTTCTCATCAGTTGGAGGTCTGCACAGAGCAGAGGATAGGACTTGTTGGTGTGCAACAGATTTCATCTTTGCCTCTATTCATATCCAGGTCTTCATTTTTCTTTTATGTTTCTTAATTTGTTTTATTAATTGTGTCTTCTACCTCACAGTAAGCCATATCAAGTCCTTTTTCTTTCTTTCTTTCTTTTTTTTTTAAAGATTTTATTTATTTATGGATACAGAACTGGGTACAGGCCAGAGGTGCAGGGATGGTGAGAGGACTCACCACACACAGAGCAGGAAGCAGAACAGGCAGATCGACGAAGCACACTGCTGAGGGGAGCAGCGGGCGGGTCAGGAGAGGTCTGCCGCGCCATGTGGTCACCTCCCGGGCAAGCGGGAATCGAACTCATGCGGAAGTGTCTTTAGCTTCCCAGTGCGGTGCTTCAACCCGCTGTGCCACCAGGGAGGGCCCTTAAGTCCTTTCTCTATTCATGAAAGCACGGATGCTCATATCCATGCATGGATACATTGGTATGACTGTTTATTTTATATTAAAATGACAGTACAGAAAAACAAGTGAAATTTGGGAAAAAGGGCTTATGCAATTTTCATTTCTGATGGTAGTTTTTGGAAACAAGTCCAGTAATTTCCTAGAAGGGAAAGTTTTTGCATGAGAACACATGAAACTCTTGATGTTCACGGTTTAAACAGAGATCCGTGTGAAGTACAACTAATCTGTCTAAAGAACAGATTACGGAGATATACAGGATCACAGTGAGCGCAAAATGTAGTTTTAACTTATAGTTTTCAAATGAACTTAAAAAGTCCTGCTCTATTAGAAAGTTTTAGAGACCACAATTTTATTTAGAATTGGCAGCATCCAGCAAAGATCAGATTTATTCTTGGTCTTATGCTTCCAGGAATCATTTTGCTCAAAGTGATCTTGGCAATTGATAGCTGTGAACTACCCAGGGAACTAAAATATCACTTTCCAAGCCTTTTTCTTTTTTTTACTGAAAAATTTCTTCTCTGACAACTATGACATTAATAGTTATTTTAAACCTGAAGAGAAGCTTACCATCCGGTAGATTCTAAGAGAGCAATGTTTTACTTTTGTAGCTTAAATTTAAATTTAAATTTAAATTTAGCATAAAGCTAAAATTTAGTTTTTTTTTTTCTTAAGCTTCCAGCATAAGAGATTTGGAAGTCTTGGACCTAATAGCCCTATGATATCTCCTGCCAGTTCAGAAGCTTGTCAATCACAATTCAGCCCTGTGTCGGCTACGGCCAGTTCCAATAGGCACCTCTGGGTTCTGACAGAGAAGCAGGGTCCTGTCTCCCCCATCTGTCAGCAATAGTCCTGTCTCCTATCTTGAAGGAGAGAAGAAGGTGTGTGGAGGTTGAGCTGCCCAAAGTGCTGTAATAAGAAATTACCACAAACTTGGTCCCCCCAACAATAACATTTATTTTTTCACAGTTCTGGATGGCAGAGCTCTAGCTCAACCTCCCAGGGTAAACCATAGTGTTGGGGAGCCCCAGCCCACCCAGAAGCTCTGCTGGAGAGTTTGTCGGCCCGGGTCTGTGTGGCCCTGGCATCCTCGGGTGGGACTCGGTGCAGCCTCTTCCTCTTGTGTTGGTGGTCACAACTTCTCATAAAGGTATTTATGGCTGCAGCTACAGCCTGTCCTGGTAGTCTTAACATTGCAGTTAAAAACAAAAAGAGGGCCCTCTCTGGTGGCGCAGCGGCTTAAAGCACAGCACTAAGAAGCTTAAGCCACTTCCGCATGAGTTCGATCCCCGTCTGCCCCCAGGAGATCCACATGGCGTGGCAGACCTCTCCTGACCCGCCCGCTGCTCCCCTCAGCAGTGTACTTTGTAGATCTGCCTGCTCTGCTCCCTGCTCTGTCTCTGGTGAATCCTCTCACCCTCCACATCTCTGGCCTGTACCCCAGTTCTGTATGAATAAATAAATAAATCTTTAAAACAAACAAACAAAAACAAAAAGAATCACTAAGTGATTAAAAAGAAAGCCCTTACTGAGGCAACCCTGGTTTACAACACAGTCTGTGACTTAGAGGGCTGGGGCCATAGCCTTTAGGTATTTGGTGCACACCCCACTCACCACCACAGTGCCCCTCAGCCTCCCCCACGGCTCTGGCACCCGCGTCTCTGCTCTGGCTCCCCCATCCCTCCTCCAGTAGCAGCAATTCTACGGTCAGGTGTTGCAGGTTTGTTACTAGTTTGATTTTACCTTACCTTATTCCTCTTTCCCCACTCTAGTCTTCACCTATAAGAGACGCGATCCAATCATTTTTAATAACTACTCCTATTTAAAGCAAAATTTGCAGTTTCTGGGAACTACAATCCAGATATCTTTATGGTTCATAATTCAGTCTACCCTGTTCCCCCAAACCCCTCAGTTGGCCAAGATTGCATTTTTCGTTCCTCTTTTTTCCTTTTGACTCTTGATTCTCTAGGGATTTGGAATCAATGACTGATGGATCAATATTTAGGTTTCCTATCAGTGTAGTATATGGGTCATACAGGTAACTACAGCCTCAAATTCTTATTACCGAAGCAATTCTATTCTAATTTTCATTACCCCTTAGTTATTTTATGCATAACTATTGTCTTGTTTTATGGATAAAAGTTGAATAAAATATATTTACTGTTTTCAAGGAATTCATATAAAATGCACCTCCAAGCATATTGCAAATACAGGTAGAATAATGTTGTTCTTTAGGAAAGACAAAAAGGAAAATGGGCAAGAAGAGGAAAGAGCAATTCTTCATCTTCCCTTTATGTTTCTTCCATTTGTTCCCTGGACACCCTAAGTGTAAGTAAGAAGGGGGGAAACAAATTACCCTCCTCAAAGGGAGGAAAACAGTTTAAAAATATATGGCGAAACCAGATGTCATATGACTAATAATTGGTCTTTCAAGGCAGCATAGAACTAATTTCTCAGTTATCTAAAAAGAACGATCTTCACCTAGACTAGCCATGTCTCACTAGGAGCTACACTGATGCTTCAGTCGGGTTCCCAGTGATCCAGAAGGAAAACCAGTGGGTGAAGTGGATGATGTATCTTAAGTCATAAGATGTTTATCTCTCTTTTCAGAGAGGGACCTTAGAAACCCAACATTGATGGATGAGAAAAATTTCACCCAAGTGAAAGAGTTCATACTTTTAGGGTTCACGACAGACTTGTGGCTGCAGAGAGTCCTCTTTTTCATCTTCCTCATGATTTACATCTTCAGTCTCTTAGGAAACATCACCTTGATCTCTTTGATCTGTGCTGATTCTCGGCTCCACACACCCATGTATTTCTTCATTGGCAACCTGTCATTCCTGGATCTCTGGTATTCCTCTGTCTATGCTCCCAAAATCCTCATGACCTGCATCTCTGAAGACAAAAGCATCTCCTTTGCTGGCTGCCTGGCTCAGTTCTTCTTCTCTGCTGGGCTGGCCTACAGTGAGTGCTACCTGCTGGCTGCCATGGCTTATGACCGCTATGTGGCCATCTCCAAGCCCCTCCTTTACGCCCAGGCCATGTCCTCGAGATTGTGTAGCAGTCTTATTGCCGTTTCATACCTTGGTGGCTTTGTGAACTCAACCATCATCACTAGTGAGACATTCACTTTGAGTTTCTGTGGGAACAATGTCATTGATGATTTCTTCTGTGATCTGCCCCCACTGGTGAAGCTGGCCTGTGATGTGAAGGAGAGCTACCAGGCTGTGCTCTATTTCATACTCGCCTCCAATGTCATCACTCCCACAGTGCTCATTCTCTCCTCCTACCTCTTCATCATTGCTGCCATCTTGAAGATCCGCTCTGCGCAAGGCCGTCTCAAGGCCTTCTCCACCTGTGGCTCTCACCTGACAGCTGTCACCTTGTACTATGGCTCAATTCTTTTCATTTATTCTCGGCCAAGTACTAGCTACACACTGGAGAGGGATAAAGTGGTGTCAGTGTTCTATACTGTGGTGATACCAATGCTGAATCCTTTAATCTATAGCTTAAGAAATAAAGATGTTAAAGATGCCCTGAAGAAGATGGTAGGCAGAGCAAAGTTTTCTTAAATGAAGGTCAGCTTGGCTATATTTTAATGTATAGATGATCTCCATGTCATTATTAGTCTGTACTCTCAAAGAAATAAAATGAGCAACAACAAAGTCACGATAATGTAAAAACATTAATCTGCACTTGCCTTTTTAAGTTGTCGCAAATGTATTTGAGTATGTTTTTAAATGAGTCGTGGTCACATGCAAAAAAGCTACTTACATACTGATTGAAATAGACAGAGCTATAGAATTACTGGAATTTTACAATGGTTGAAAGAGAAGATTTATTTTTTAAATAGTCTAGTTTGACAGTTTGTAAATTGCTTGTATGCACTATTTTAAAAAAAATTATATTTATTTATTTATTCATGTAGAACTGGGGTACAGTCCAGAGGAGCAGGAGTGGTGAGAGGCTTCACCAGAGACAGAGTGGGGAGCAGAACAGGCTGATTGACAAAGTACACTGCTGAGGGGAGCAGGGGGTGGATCAGGAAAGATCTGCTGCACCACATGGGTCACCTCCGGGGTGGGGATCGAACTCATGCGGAAGAGGCTTTAGCTTCTTAGGGCTGCACTTTAACCTGCTGTGCCACCAGGGAGGGCCCTTTATGCACTATTTTAATCTAATCTCTTACCTAAGGGGAAGTGATGCAAATAGTTATGGGGCCACTGTCAGGACTAGCTGGATTGTTGGGATTAACAATTTGTCAGGATTAACTGATTTACCACCTTTAATTAGCAGGTGAAAACATAAGAAAGCAGCCTACAACTCAGCCTCTCCAGACTCTTTTGTAAGATAGAGTGAGGAATCTTGAGTAAAGTGTTTATAGGAAAATTCCTTCAGGGACAAGTTTAATTCATTTCTGATTCAAATTTCTTGGCAAACTGTAACATAAAAATTTCCATGGATTAGATACAAGAAAGTACAAATACACCACGGACACAGAGGCTTCCTCACAAGTGATAAATCAAGAGCAAAATAGTGGAAGCCTATTCAACAGCCAGGAACGGAGATGTAGGAATAAGTAGGTCACAAAAAGCTTTACATCCAAAAGAGGTTTGCAATGAAAATTTCCACTAGGTGAAGCAGTGATTGGCAAAAAATTAAGGTTTGGTAAAGGTTTGTATTTTCTTGCAAATTCAGTTTTACATATGAATTAAAGAAAAATCAGAGAATATTTGTTATCATACATAGCTTATTTGAATGTTGGTAGTCGTTATACATATCACATGAGGCTTAAAGTTTAAGAAACAAAAACAAAAAGACTCGTTTGGTGTTGATATATCCCTCTGCTAGGCATATATCCATAACTCAGTACTACAGACTGGGTGACTGCACTGCTTATTTCATCACAGTTCTGGAGGATTCAAGGCCCACTTCAAATGCCATCAGGTGCCTTTGCTCTGAGGCCTCCTTCCTGGCTCGCAGAGAGCTGCTGTCCTGCTGTGATGCCACAGTCTCGGCGGCTTTAAGCACAGCTTCCTTGCTATTTCTGTGCAGCTACATTTCTATTAGATTTTAATGTGACATACCCAGGCCTATTGGGGATAGGATCCTCTTCTTTTACTCAACCACCCTCTACACGGCCTTGTCTCCAGATAGAGTCACACTCTAAGCATCTATGTGTTAGGATTTTAAAATAAAATCTTATGGTAGATGCAATTCAATTCATACTGATAGGGTTTGGACTGATAAGGTTTTTTTGGATAATGAGACAAAGAAGGGAAACTGGACATAGAAGACTGTATGATGAGGACAAAAACATGAACCATGTGACGCAGTCTGGAAAAGTCTAATTAGTCATCTTGGACAGTTTCTATCATCAAGCACCTGATTATTATATTGTGACTTCTATACTCTTAATAAAACACTTCTCTTTCCAGATGTCTTAATTATTATATCATCCCCAAACTCCAAATGAAATTTAAATGAGTCTTCAGAGACTGAGGCATGTTTTTCTGACTTATTGTGTGAAAGAATAATAACACAGAGGGCTATTAAGGAAATACATATATTGGGTCCAAATCCTGCCACCACGCAGAAGAAAGGGAAGAGAGTGTCGATTGCATCAGTGTCCTTCCCGAGAAAGCGAGAAAGGGTAAGTTACCCACCAGGCAGGGAGGTGATTTGGCTTCCCGTAGCTGCAGTTGGAAAGGAGATACAGAGTCTGGCCTGGCTCTCCAAGGATCACTGTTAATACAGAAACACACACACACACACACTCACGGCCAGTCTTCTAAATAGGAACAAACTAATGGTCTATGAAATTCTATCGTGATGCTATATATATATATATATGTCCTGAATAGTTGGAGCTCAGCTTGAAGGTGATAGTACTTTAGGGGAGGAGAAAGCCTCAGAATATAAAGGTAATTATCCACTTATTCCACAAATAATTATTTACTGCTGATGAGTTGCTGTTCTATACTCTGGGAGTCTGCAGAAACAAAACAGAAAAATCTTCTGTGGTGAATGCATTCAGGGGGTGGAGATGGCCAACTGGCTTCAAAGCAGGAGTTAGAAGATGATGACAGGTCTCGTTGAAAAGAGAGCTGAGCCAGAGCAAAATAGGACAGTTAGGGATTGCTGGTGGGAAGAAGGCACGGAGTCTCCCATAGACTGGCGAGGATGGGCTTTAACAGGAAAATGGCATTTGAAAGGAACTGCGAGGAAATGGGAGCACTGACTCTCATAGAGGAGATATAGCCTTGATCGTTTCTGGAAATAGCATTTCAGGCAGAGAGACAGTGCAAACATCTTCCACGCTGGGCCTGAGAGACTGATTGGGTGAGCGCTGCTGGGGTGAACGGTAGACGACGTGGGGGTTCGGCTGTGGGCAGGAGACTGTTGTGAGGACCTGTAGGTGAGGTTTAGAACTAGACTTGGCCTTAGAATAATTTGGGCACAATAGGGTTGTTTATTGTGCGTGAATGTCATGACTAACCATTTTTTGGCAAATAACGCACACTTATTTGGAATTAGATTATAGACGGATGACTCTGTAGACCAATTAGAAGGAAGAAGAATATTGCAACATTGGCTCAGACGTAACAGAAGGCCACCCCAGAGTCAAAGGTAGAAAAACAGAATCTACTTTTGAAATCACCATTGTGGCCTACTCTGTTTTCTTCTAGAAACTTTTCCTGATATTTTAGTTTTCCTCAAACTCAGCTTTTATACATAAGTCAGGAATTAGTTTTCCTTTTGAAAAAAATAATAGCCACCATTATTTAAGTACTTCCTGTGTCTGCACAGCCCTGATATTTTCCCTACTTTTTCAGGTGAATAAATGTGAAAGGAAGTGATTTACTCTAAAGATTAAAGAGCTTTTAAATTAGAATTTGAGCTCAGGTGCCATTCCAATTATGCCATGAATCAAGTGTTCCTATGCAGACCTGTGCTGGCCTGGGGCTTGCACGTACGTCTGAGGGTCTGTGGTTTGCTGTTAGATTAGCTGGATGCTAGATGATAAAGAATGTTCCTTTCACAAATCTGGGGCCTCCCTGCTAGTAGTGAGGTCACAGAGGGACGCAGCCTCATTATTCAGCAAAAAGCCCAGACTGATATGCACATTCTGTGGCTTATGTGGCAAGTTATTGGCTTCAACAAACCACAAGGCCATCCGGAATTTAAAGTTAGGTAAACAAAATCTACTTTTGAACTTGGAAATTAGTGGATTTTGTCCCTTTCCCCTCAACATCACAAAGAGGACTGATTGGTGATTTAGTTTTGTTTCTTTCTCTTTTAAATGTTAGAGCTTTGGCAATGAACTGACATCCTAAATAGATGTAAAAAGTGAGAACAAGGACTACAGAGGTGAGCAGAGGCAGCTCACAGGACATCTTTGTGGGTCTAATGCCTCTGTGCTCGGTGTGCAGTGAGCAGGAGAGACATCGAAGCTGTAAGAAGCAATCTCGGCAGGACACCCAGCTGTGTTTCCAGTGCCACTGTCGAGTCTTGTCCTCTCTGAACACCATCAGTGACGAGACATTATGGAGCGGGTATTTAAAGACCTAGCTGCCTTGCTTCCTAATAGTGGGAGATTAGACCTGAGGTAGAAAACTAATATGTGCCATCTAGTTACAAACAAACTCTGCCTTGTCTTCAAGGTAAATGTATTAAACATGAAGGCAAATCAGAATCCTCTGTTAGTGTTAGATTTTCCTAAAGCCATTGCAGCTAGGGAAAAAGTCATCTGGCTCCTGGGAAAACTAGGCTGTTTCCCTCATGCGTGTTTTAAATTAGAATCTCCTTTAGCTTCTCTCTGGTAGTTATGGAGCTTCAAGTGATGAGCTTTAAAGAGTTTATGGATTTTTATGAATTCTTGACACCATACCAGGGTTATTTTTATTGGTCAGCATCTTCTCTATTAAAAAATACCTCTGAGGGCCCTCCCTGGTGGCGCAGCGGGTTAAAGCACAGCATCGAGAATCTAAAGCCACTTCCGCATGAGTTTGATTCCCGCCTGCCCCGGAGGTGACCACATGGCGTGGCAGACTTCTTCTGACCCGCCCACTGCTCCCCTCAGCAGTGTACTTCGCCGATCTGCCTGTTCTGCTCCCCACTCTGTCTTTGGTGAATCCTGTCACCCTCCACATCTCTGGCCTGTACCCCAATTCTGTATGAATAAAAAAATAAATCTTTAAAAAAAAATACCTCTGAGTATGCCTCATACCAACCAGAGGAGGTGATGGGGGAGGCAAACCTAAAAAGATTTGTAAAGCTCTTATTAATGAGTAACGGATTTCAGATCATCAGTCAGTTACAGTGTTATCTTAGCAAAAAACAATGAGAACAATTCATCTATAAAAGACATAAGTGACATATCAATGAGAACACACACTTATGATAAAGAAAATTCTGGGCTCAAATACCCCTCTTCTGTTGATCAGTCCTGCAGCTTGGAAAATTTTCAATGCTACAGGTATCATAACAGTACCTGCCTTAAGAAGTTGTGGGAAGGATTACATGGATTCAGATTAGAAATTAGAGCACCAACTGGAACAAAAATACACTCACTTTACTAGCAGACATAGAACAGTTTGTTGGTTTTTTGTGCCCTACAGCACAAGACACATAGAAGCTCAACAATGTAGAATGGATATTAAATTATCTGAGTGTCTCTGTGAACTTGGATAGATGTACAGGTATACATGGGGATTTTTTTTTAGAGATTATTTGTGTATACAGAACTGGGGTACAGGCCAGAGGTGCAGGGGTGGTGAGAGGATTCACCAGAGACAGAGTGGGGAGCAGAACAGGCCGACTGATGATGTACACTGCAGAGGGGAGTAGCAGGTGGGTTAAGAGAGGTCTTCCAGGTCATGTGGTCACCCCCCCCCACCCGGTCGGCGGGGAGGGCGGGGATTGAGCTCATGCTGAAGTGGCTTTAGCTTCTTAGTGCTGTGCTTTAACTTGCTGTGCCACCAGGGAGGGCCACATCGGGATCATTTTAACCCTTCTTTACCTAATAAGACCTCATCTGACTGAGTCAGGGATGTGATTTTTCTTGTTTGCTGACAATGAGGGCATTTCTCTGCACCCAATATTTACTATGTCAAACCCCTAATTTCAAAACCAAACTCTGGTTCCATTCTCCAGTGATCATTGCAAAAAACAGACCCAAGTGCTGTCATTCTAGATAGTCATATAAATGTGTAATCCTCTTGTTAATTGGTGATTTCATTGGTATCATTATTTATCAAATCCTAAATCATCATTTTCCCCATTCTTACTCAGGCTTTCTCCCCTATAGACATGGAGCTTGGAAATCGCACCATCCTGACTGAATTCATCTTGGTGGGCTTCTCTGCCAATCCCCGGTGGAAGCTGATTCTGTTTGGATTATTTCTGATACTCTATTTGATAACCTTGTCTGGGAACATGACCTTGGTTATCTTAATCCACATGGATTCCCGCCTGCACACTCCTATGTATTTTTTCATTGGCAATCTTTCCTTTTTGGACTTCTGGTACACTTCTGTGTATACTCCCAAAATCCTGGCCACTTGTGTTTCAGAGGCTGAGCGCATATCCTTGGCTGGGTGTGGAGCTCAGTTCTTCTTTTCTTGTCTGGTGGCCTACACTGAGGGCTACCTCCTAGCCGCCATGGCCTATGACCGCTATGCGGCCATTTGCAACCCATTGCTTTATTCAAGTGCTATGTCCAGTTCTCTCTGTACTGGACTCGTTGCTGGCTCCTACATAGGTGGGTTCTTGAATGCCATAGCCCATACTGCCAACACCTTCCGTCTGAGTTTCTGTGGTAACAATATCATTGAGGATTTCTTCTGTGATGTCCCTCCTTTGGTCAAAATGTCTTGTACAGACACCCAGGTCTACGAAAAAGTCCTCCTCGGTGTGGTGGGCTTCACAGTCCTCTCCAGCATTCTTGTCATCCTGATTTCATATTTCAACATCTTCCTGGCCATTCTGAAGATCCGCACGGCCTCAGGAAGGCGCAAGGCCTTCTCTACTTGTGCCTCACACATGGTCTCTGTCATGCTCTTCTATGGGTCCATGTTGTTCATGTATTCGAGGCCGAGTTCCACTTACTCCCCGGAGAAGGACAAACTGGCTGCCTTGTTCTACACGGTGATCAACCCCTTGCTCAACCCTCTCATCTATAGCGTGCGAAACAAAGATGTCAAAGCGGCCTTCTGGAAGGCGATACAAACCCTACAGCCACAGACATGAGGTCACCTATTTGGTAGAATGCTCTCACTGCAATTTCCAAACTCTTGGTTCATAAATGTTCATAAATGTTGTAGTTTTTCATTTAAATATGAGAAGTTACACTTAAAATTCTGAAACTTTGATCAAACTACTCTTGTTATTATTTTGTTGTGATTTAATTATTTTAAACCTATAATATTTGGTTTGATGGTCTGTGATACCATATTTCACTTCTTTTCCATATTAGATTTTAATAAAATTTATTCCTAAGGATCTTAGAAAGCGAGAGTAGATAATTTCTATTCACATGTTTTGATTTTGAGGCTTGGCTAGAACTGCTTCTATTGGAAATTTACTCAAGATTTAAGAAATATTTATTTTTATAAGGTATTCCTTCTAGATGCCTTCATAAAGCTCTAATTGAGAATATAGAAAATATATTTGTGTCTTTGTGCCTTCTACATCCATTTAACATTAGGTGAAAATTTAAAAAAAGAGTTATTTATTCATTCATAAAGAGCTAGGGCACAGGCCAGAGTTGCAGGGGGTGAGACAGAGTGGGGAGCAGAACAGGCAGATCGACAAAGTACACTGCTGAGAGGAGCAGTGGGCGGGTCAGGAGAGGTCTGCTGTGCCATGAGGGTCACCTCCGAGGTGGGGATCGAACTCATGCTGAAGCGGCTGCTGCTCACCTGCAGCTCTGAGTCCCAACCTGCTGCCTACCGTGGAGG